TGCCTGTATGTAATCAACAGGTTAAAGTTGGGCACTGTGGGGCCAGTGGACAGGGGGCTCTCCCAGAGTTCACCAGGGCAGAGCCTGGCAGCCAGGGCTCATCCCACCACCCCAAACAGGAGCAGGGCAGCCCCAGCCTTGAGGGAGTGCAGGGCAGGGATGTGGGCATCTGGAGACTGACCCACGAACAGCATATTTTAAATAGGCATTTATAGAATCACAGGATTATATAATAGTTAGGGTTGGAAAGGACCTAAAGGTCATGAAATTCCAAACCCCTGCCATGGACAGGGACACCTCGCTCTAAACCATATCACCCAAGGCCTCGTCCAACCTGGCCTTGAACACTGCCAGGGATGGAGCATTCATAGCCTCCCTGGGCAACCTATCCCAGTGCCTCACCACCCTTACAGTAAAGAGCTTCCTCCTTGTATCCAATCTAAACTTCCTCTAAGTTTGTACCCTTTACCCCTTGTCCTATCACTACAATGCCTAGTGAAGAGTCCCTCTCCAGCATCTTTATAGCCCCCCTTCATATACTGGAAGGCTGCTATGAGGTCTCCACGCAGCCTTCTCTTCTCCAGGCTGAACAGCCCCAACTTTCTCAGCCTGTCTTCATATGGGAGGTGCTCCAGTCCCCTGATCGTTCTCGTGTCCCTCCTCTGGACTTGTTCCAACAGATCCATGTCCTTTTTATGTTGAGGACACCAGAACTGCACACAGTACTCCAAGTGAGTAATTCTGGATACTTCCTCCGGGTTATCCAGAATTCCTTGATAACTAATGGTCCCTTATTAGACTATCTGTGCCAGTTTAATAGTGTGATATTTGTGTTACAGCACTAATTTGAGGGGATTTGCAGACACAGGAAAACTGCTGGCAAGAGGACATGAGAAGTTTTCTCTAAATGGTCACACTCATTTCTCCAGAATTGTATTGTAATTCATCCTCTTTGAATTAGAAGCTCACATGAATCAGAAGCTGACAATGACATTATGTCTTTTATAAAAGTGACGCTTCAAACAAAACTGTATCAAAGTGCTATCAAATGATGAACACGTAGTATCTTCATAGACAGCTATCTGCTGTAATCACCTTGAGAGAATTAAAAAGCAGACCCTGTGCCTACTTGGGGAATAGATTTTTGTTGAATAAATGTGTCGTTTGAATAGTTTAGTTCAAATGTGACTCAAAAATATTTTTTAAAGAAAATATTGGCTTGAAATGTAGATGTTTAGTACTGAAGCAAAAGTACTAGAAGTGCCAAGCCTCCAATGCAAAACCAAGTCCAAAAAAATCAATCAGATCAATTAAGTTGTGAACATAATGCATGCAAATCAGTATTATTAGAAACAACATTAGGTATCACAATAAATAGATACTTTAAAATCCTTTTATTGTTTTCCTTGGTTGTAATTTTGGCTGGTTCTGTATGAAGTATCTTCCTTGAAATTTTTAAGACCAGAAGGCTAACATTTGCTTCAAATCATATTATATACAAATATTATATGTAAATATTACTTGCTCTTGCGTTTGACAGTGCTTCGCACTTCAAGTCAGGCTTCCTTTCCAGTTACTTAAATACTGTTTGAAAAGCTGAAATTTTGTTCAGCTAATAAAAGTCCAAGATACTTAATTTTCTGAAAGTCTTGCCAGGACCATAATTCATGAAATAAGATTTTTCTCACATAAATAAACTCTAAGCTATTTTTTCCTCACAAATAAACTATGTTAGTCTTGCTATTTTGTGAACAGAATCAAACTGCTCTGCAAGTCTGTCCCTCACTGGTGTACTGACTGTTCCAATGGAATTAATTCCCTTGGGTGCTTTTATCAGATTTGTTCACTTTGTTCCTGAACATGAAGTTCTGTTCAAAATAGCAGAAACAGGGGAGGAGCTTTTCTTCTTCAGTTTTGCAGCAGGTGACTGGGAAATGTTTTGTTGCCACAGGCATGTGGAGTTCTGTGGGCCCTACCAAATGAGACATCACTTGTAGTGTTGCCTGTGTGTTCCAAGAGACTGGATTTTCATTCCAGGCTTATTAGCTTCTGGTAGGATACAAGATGAACTTATTTCTCCCAAAGCCAAGGTACAGTTCTGCCTCCTAACCACTTGTAATTTAAAGCTGGGCAGATGAAGAGGAGTCCCAAAATCTGAAAAAAAATATTCACTGTTATACATTAATTATCAGTGTAGAGTCTCAAAAGTTACTTCAGTAAAATACAGTGAAGGTTTCACATATCATGGCTTAAAGAATCTCTCCAAAAAGCAACATAGGGAAATACATGGAGACATTAGTATGCGAAAGAGAAAAACATTTCCTTGGAGACTGCACAACTGGTAAAATGCAAGCCAAATTTATGGCCAGTTAGGAGGTAGCCTCAAGCCATATGTTCAGGTGTTGCTCAAGCATCATGACACGAACAAATGCTTTGGGATGTTGTTCTGAGTATATCTACAGGTAAGACCAGGTAGGCAACAAAGAATACCTGGTAACATCAGGTGGGAGCCAGTTCTGGACCGTGCTTGGATCTCATGGCAATCTGAGCCCCTATGTTGCTAACTGCAGAAAATGGCATGGGATAACACCCGCCCAAAATTTGCTGTCTAAACGTTGACTCCTTGTTTCAATAAGCTATACGGGAAAAAAAAAATCACAGTGGGCCATAACCTACATAACTAGGTCTGCTTCGTGTTTTGCAGGTAAATATTGGGGGGAGGCTTGGGGATGGTGCTTGGAAAGACAGTGGGACAGCCTGGGAAGGGAGTATAGCATCTGGGCTACTGGAGGACAGTTTGGACTTCCCTTGAAGTAGAGCCAAGAGGAAGAGGATCAAAAGTGTGCTTGTAGGATGGATTTTGTATCTTATCTTAGGTGCCCTTAGTGTCTTAGGTGGAGGGTGAGACTGAGGTAAGGAAAAGGAGGGTATGAACCCAGCTGTTTGGTGAGAGTTTGTACCCCAGACAGGCAGTCTGAGCACTCCTGGTGTAGGTCTGGGACCATGGCAGTAGAGTTCCAGCATTCTCAGCCAGTTTTTGAGGCTACAGCACATACAGGGCAGTGAGGACACCCATCAGACTGGCTGGATGTCTGGGATGAGGGCGGGAATGGTGCCTTCTCCAGTGCCCTTGCCTCTGGCCACTCTCCCCTTGGCATGGCCTAGGGGTCAGTTTTTGTGGTCAGGTAGGAGCCCAGCTCCTTGTTGCAAAGCAAAGTACTGGAACTGTAGGGATGACAGCTGGGCTCTGGCTCCTAGGGTCTGTGAGTGACCATTCCCGCTTCTCTATTCCCTGGGCCTGGGGATGCTTTTTTTTTTAATGATTACTTCTTTACGTGTAGAAGTTAGGAGGTTAATTTTTTATTGTATGCATTTGTTGAAATTTACATTTGGAGAGAACATGGAGGTTTTGCATCTGTAGAGTTAGAGTGGACTTCCTTAAAAGTTGCAGTGACTGCTACCATGATGGAGGCTACTTAGGTCTCTTAACTGTGTCTGGTTTAGGGAAGCAGATGGAAAATAGAATTTTGAGGGAAGGCACATTCAGTACATATTTTCTGTGTTTCAGATTTAATATCAGGACTGCCTAAATTACAATTTTCTGTCCATTATTTGTTATCATTTTGAACCTCATCAAACGTGTGCACAGGGTTTTATGGTACTGTAGGTCTTTTGTTTTGCCTTGTCTTTCATATTGTATTATTTTTCTTCCCTCCTTCCCCCAGGTCTAACTGTCATTTCTTGTTGTGCACCTTTACATTTGTTCTGCTTTTGATGGAAAGGAAAAACTTCCCATTAAAATAAAATGTGTGATTACAGTTGAACTCCCTTCTGAACTCACATTTTATAGATAAAAATTCTTTGTAATAAATATATAGGTTTGAAAATTCTTCATCTCAGTATCTTTCTTCTCATTTAAGATATTTTCTTTGCTGAGTTCTACAGAGGCTTTCAGGTTTATTGTACCTTTCTTACATTTTTATCTGTAAGCCTAAACCCACTTGAATATGTATGGTTGGGTCCATATTCTGTACACCTTGAAATTCCTGTTTCCTTAGTGTTCCACGAGAGTAAATTCTTCTATTTATCTATGAATTCTGATAAATGTTATTTTTTCCTCTCCTTCTTGCTCTAGCCATTGGCATTCTTAGTTTCATGGCTGTCTCTTTCTAAATATCCTTTCTCTGGCAGAGCTGAGTAACTCCACTGAATTATTGTGATGTTAATTTCTCACCATATGCTCTGGACTGCTCCAGGATATTTTGCTGTTGAAAACTGTTCTACTTTAAAACTTTGTGAGTTTTGTATTATTTTGGCAGAGACAATTCAAAATTTTATCGCTAGGATTTTGTAAATTACAAACTGCTTTATAGCGTCCTTCCATATTGGCTAGATGATTTCTTACCCAGGTGTTTGACTTCTATGGGAGTCTTTGAACTTTGGCTCTGGTATTGTGTTTTTTGAATTCTTTGCTGTGTCATGTTGGAAAGTCATGACTGAATCAAAGTCCTTTTACTGTCTGTGAAGCTTATTATTTTATTAAAGCAAACTGTCCCAGAGACTTCCAATCAGGACCTGTCAAGCTCAGTACTTCCGTTTGATAGTCCAGACCTGGCTTTGAGGTTTTAAAATTCAATATCTGTCTTTGCTGCCACAACAACTTTATGTAGGAAAAAAGTCCTCAGTCACTAAAAATTGACTTTAAACCAAAATATATTTATCTCTTTGACTTACACTCCAAAATTCTTTTTGAAACTTAAAGAACATTAATTGAATGATTTGTAAGGAGACTAGAAGTTAAAGAACAGTCATGAATTCACTTTTCCAGCATAATCCAGTTTCAAGTCTGTATTTTCTAATTTATCATAGACTTTCATAAAAATGTGCAGTTTATAAACAAATTTTCATTTCATTGTGGTTTAAACAACAGAATTTGAAAGTAGTATATACCTTAAATTGAAATAATTGATACAAAGTAAGTTGGCACAAACTCATCAATGCAGAAGATTTATATTTGAATTTTTCTAAAATGCTGCAAGATAGTTGATAGAGTTATTTTTTTACTTGCATGAAAATTGTTGGCAGAATTAACTTAGTCAGCAATAATTCTGGAGTTCTGGCTGGTAAAGATTTGTTTGCATACTTTGTTTTTATGCATTCTTCAGTAGCCCTAAAATCACATGAAGTATCCTGCGAGCATAGTATTACTTTGGGTATAATTTTTGGTATTTTTAACTCTGATGTTGCTGAGCACTCCACAGGTATGCTTCTTTAATCTTCTCATGGAGTTTACCAGTTCCGGTTTGACCTGGCACAGCAGAACATCTTCTTAAATGTACTCTGTAATTCTGGGCTTCGGAAGGCAAAAATCATGGGGTCGATGATCGCATTGCACATTATGAGTGTCCCATTCACATGGAAAATGGACATGTAGCAGGCACAGTAAGGGTTATGTGGGCAAAATCTTGCTAAGAGGATGTGAAGAACAAATGGGGCCCAGCAGCAAAGGAAAACTCCAAGAAAAATAGTCAGTGTAATGGCTCCTTTCATGTTAGTTCTCTGATGGACTGTGCTGGTCGGCAGTGAGGCGATCTTTTTAGCGTGAGATCGAGCCAGCAGGAACATATGGACATAGAGACACAGTATAAAAAACATCATTAAAGGGAACAGGATGGTGAAGGGAATGACTGTTGCTGCTTCATAGGAGAAGAGGGCAATGGCAATGCTACTGCCAGCACAGAACGTCCAAATGATTGCCAAGATAACCAAGGCCCTTCTTAGTGTCATGATATTATGGTACCGTAAAGCATAGAAGATAGTAATGTATCTGTCTGCTGCAATAGCTAACAAGCTGAAAATTGACCCCAGTAAAGACAGAATGAACATGGAATCCATGGCATCATCCAGCTTTTTCTCAAAGTCCCCACGACGTGTCAGGTACCCCATTTTGCACAAGATGATAAAGATGTTCTCCAGAGTTTTATACAAGCTACCTAACATATCTGAAATAGCTAAACTGCAAATGAAGAAGTACATGGGCAAATGCAATTTCTTATTTCTAACAACAGCAATAAGGACAAGAAGATTTTCTAGTATTCCTGCAGCAGCAACAGTGAAAAAAACTTCCTCTGGAACCACGACTGGGGTGCAGTCAGTGGTATTTAAGGAGAAATCACTTCTGTTTTCAAGGGAAGGAATGTTTGTCTGCCCTGCATGTTTGATTAGGTTGGAAGGTCTCCCAGTGGTCATTTCTTCTGGTTGTGGAAATTGTTGTGGTTGAGGCTTGGCTTTATTCTGAAGTTGACCTGTCAGTCAGAACGTTCTTCTTTTGACGAAGGCTTTCTCCTTCATCTAGAGCAATTTTAAGACTCAACTGAAGTGTTTGGAATTTCTCCTACAATAAAACATGTAGAAACATAAATATCAAGTATGAATTTACCACACAGATATGGCAAAAATAGACATTTGAAATATTACCTATTGCAATGGAATGCATGTATATCATCATCTGAGAGAGGCAAAGTTGGTTTGGATAATATAAGAGCTTCTCCGCTGTTTCACTGAGCCTTAGAGGAAAACAAAGTGTACATTCTCTTTTAGCTTCAAAGTAGTTTTAAAAGATATATGTGTTTTTCTTTACCAATGAGCAGCTCACGTTTACTGAAACTGATCTGACAGACTTCAAGCGTTTGGCAATCTTTACTGGCCCAGCTGTTTGCTTTGAGAAAGTCTGGCATTTCTCACAAGATTTGCAGTATTATTAGACATAAATAAGACCAATGCCAACATAAACTGTTGTCCAGAACAGTAACATGTTTACCACTGCAATGTTGATGGTGAAATGAAATGCCCTCAATTTAGATGTGAACATTTGTAAATATTGATGATTTTAGAGGCACGTTAGATGCCAGTAAGACGCTTTCGTTTCATTTAAATTGAAACTGTCTTTGGATTTGATGAACACATTTCTAATGCAGATTAAGATTCAATGTATGATCTTTTCTTGGCTGTTTTACAAATGCCTAAATAACCAAATGTTTATTTCAGCACCAAGATGATGTTTTCCTTTCTCCATAATGATCCTGATCTACACTACATTATAGAATACAGAATTCTTTCAAAGGATTAGGCTTTTTAGGCTTTTCATTAGTGTATAAATAGATATAATATTAATTTAGCTGGAATATCACCCATAAACAGTAAGACCCACTTTCTCTTGTCTTATTTATAGCCCTACTTGTGAAACACAGATGCTGTTGCTATTTGGGAAGTCCCTGTTTTTAAAGGACTGATATATTCTCTCTCTGTTTTTAAGTTTAAAACAGCTTTGTTTGACACTTTCACACCAAGAAGTCTCTAAATTCCTTCAAGCATTTGTTCACAGTCAGGGCTGCCAAACATCATGATCCACTCTGTTACTGTTTCAAAGGGAGATTTCAAAAGTTCTAATTATTTTGTACACAAATAATGCTCTCTGCAAGTGTCAATGGCTATCTGTAATTGCGACAGCTGAACTTGTTCTTGAATGTGATTGGCCTTCATGCAGATGAATGTGTTTGTTTGGCCACTTTTCAACAGAAAACAAGTTTCTGACCTGGGTTTGCTAATGTTACCTGTTGAGACTGTTAGTAAGATGCTACTTGTGGTGAAGAATGCTGAGACTTGGGCAAGCAGCCATCTTGAATTCAACTGAAACAAGTTCACTTAAGAGAAAACATTCAAAAGAGTGTCCATGCTTATCTGAAAATAAAGGCTGTGTAGTGGAGTAAATGAATGATATTGAACTGCAACAAGCATAGACATTCCCAAAGACAGTTAGATCAACATCTGTTGGGTTGTGAAAGAAAATTACTAGCAAGGATAAGAAACTCAGTGCTGTCTTCTAATGATACGCTTCTCCTATTCTCACCTGGACCTGCTGTCAGTTTTATGATTTCTAATCCAGCAATCTGTTTAACAACTTAATTTTCACTCTTAATAGAAAGTCAACATTGACACTTCAGACAAAGCCTCATTTCAGTGGGATTTAAACATGACAATCAGTTGGCAAAAATGCATTTAAGTCACTACTCTTTCCGAACTGTTTTTCAATAATGCTTCTTTGCAGGTAGAGTCATATTGCCAAACTAATATGCTGACAAACATGAGTGTTCCTTCACTGAAAAATTACACTATTATGAATGGCATGATATATTACATCTGCTGCTTATAATTTTACAGTAACTTCATATTAAGTATGGCATTTGGTTAGAGCAGATATATAAGGGCTTTTGTTCATTTACAGTACACTGAATAGTTACATTATACAACTTATTGCTGTTTTCAAACAATTAACAAAAAGCCAGAAAAAGAAATTATTGTTTCACAGATTCTAATTCCAGCATGTATACATAGCTATTGCATACTATATTATTAGGGTTCCATCAAGGATCCTCCAATTATCTCTTTTTCTGATACTTCAGTGTGTTGTGTAGTCATATTTCTGTCTTAGACCTCCAAGACAGAAATATCTGTGTATTCAATGTTGTACACAAGTAGTAAATCCATTGCTTGAGCTACACAATATACATTATATCATACATCTCCAGTAAGTTCCACATTTACAGGTTTCTTTCACTGCTACAGTTCTACCAGGTAGTATGCATGGAGCAGTGTACGACAGTGAGACTGCACACAGGGTGTAAAACTGTTGTGAATATGATAAATGACCTCAGTGTGTCCTAAAAACTAATGGAAAAGAAGACACCTTGCAGCTTGGATGCATATTTCCACTGGCTATAGAAATTAAAGCCAAGGTCATTTCACACAAAGCTACGGATAATCATCAGGTGAAAAAAAGTTTACTGTCCTGTGCTGTTTGCACTATCAGAGACAGCTTGGATGCAACAGATTTTCCATTTTTCCCAGTTTGCTTCATCACTGTATTGTCTAGATGAAGAGTTCAAGCCACTCACCCACAGTGCCCTCTGAAATACTTCAGCTTTATCTTTTGCAGGTATCTGCAAAACCAACCCTTTACAGCTAGTGTTCATGTCAGAACTGTTAAAAATACAACAGTTTAAGAATAAAAAAATGTGCCTCATACAATAATATTTTTTTCCTGGCAATGGCTGAACTAAATGGATTGTACTTTTCTTGAGGTCATTCACAGTCTAACAATAAGTTTTGCCTGACTGTAGCAAGAAATGTAAAACAGTTAAAAAAGGAATAAATGACAAAAAGAGCCTTTACATTTGAAACACATTTACAAATGTAGCTGTATCACAAAAATTGCAAAAACCTCAACTCATTCTTTTTCCTGTTCAAATTAGGTCCTGGAGTGAGAAATCAACAGCTCAATAACATTGGATATTCGGAAACATTATTTAAGTAGAAAGAGGCAGTTTCCTGAGCTAGTATAATGGGCAATGAGCTGATGGCAATAGTGAAGTTACTAAAAATGCATGCACTTGCAATATTATCAGCAATTTCTATTTGATTTGTAGTTATCAAAAACAAGAAAAAGCAGGAAACTGGGTGACTGGAAGCCAGTACCAGAAACTACACTGATGATATTGTACAAACTTAGAAAACAACTATAATTCGGATTACCAGTAAACTGTGTTCCTTCAGCATGATCATGTTTCAGCTCTTTACAACACTGACACTTGCAAAGCATGTTTTCATTGGTATATATTACACAGTTAAAAACCAGCCCCAGTACTTCAGCTTGTGACAAAGCTAAGAATGTCTCTGTGGGTGCCAGGAGCACCATACAGGATTAGCTTTGGACAAAAAGCTTATGTCTCTCCTTTGTGCCTAGTACCTATTAAATCCAAAAGTTTAATTTTCTCTACAGTAGAAAAGCAATGGCTGAGTACCTGAAAGGTCTGGGGGAATAAATCTGAGCTTGATTTTTTTTTTTTTAATTGGATGAAAACTTTTTCATTAAATAAATAAACAACTCCCTTCTCTGAATCCCAAGATGTTAAATAAACCATGCTTTTCAGCTGTCATAGCAATGAAAGTAATTTCAGCTGTGAACTATAATGATAAGATAAAGAAAATATGTACCCTAAATGCTGAGTAATTTCCCAGCATTTTTTATATCTATTCATTTTTTACTAGAAAACCATAACCATACCTCCTGTTGTTGGAGAGATCCCAAGTGGTATTTGCTGTTGAAATACCTGGCAATGAATAAAAATTGAGAGTATGGAGTAGTCTCTTCTGGTTTTGGACTACACAAGACAGCTGAGATAACTAGCTGCAATATGTTTCTAGAACCATGAAATGTATTAATTCCCTGAACTTCTATGGATATATATATATATTTAAAAAGTAATTTATTAGGAATGAAAAAGAACAAGTGTTTTTTTGCTTCAGCCACAGTATATATAGTATATTTCACAATCCATTCAGTACACACAGAAGTACTTATTTGTCACTTGAAATACCATGACCTTTTCTCAATCAAAAAAAAAGTCTCCATAATGTATTAATAAATGTATTCTAATGTCATTATCTCTAGCATGTCATCTCCAAAGCTGCCCAGTGTATAAACTCATTGTTTAAAATAAAAGTACCATGGGCATCAGGGCACCTGTTAATCCATCCAGCTTGGATCTCTTTCTGAAACTTGGTCATAGTGGACTAGCTATGTGTGACTGGCTACACTGGCTGGTGCTGCTTAGGATGACCTTCTTTTTCTGCAAATGACAGAAAAAGTCCCATGGATGAGAGCTACCTACTTTTTCAGTCACTTCCATTCAAGCTGTTACAATTTTGCATCATAATGAGTTTGACAAAATAAAAGGGACAATTACCTGTTCTTTTTTTTCCAGATTTTCCAGATGTACCATGAATAGAAGAATGAAACAAACTGCTTAAAAACATTGATGTGGTGGCCTAGTTTTTTAAGCTGTGAAACAAGTGAAAGTCCCATTTTTTTTCCAGGGAGGGCCCACATTTTCGCTACTCTTCCTTCTTTCACTGGCATATCTATAGAAACTTTTTTTCTGTTGCTCTTGTCATCCCTGGGCAGATTTAATTCTGTCAAGGGCTTTAGCTTTTCAAACCTGGCGCCTGGCTGCTCAGACAATTTCTCTGTATTCCTCCCAGGCTACCTGTACTTGCTTCTAAGCTCTGTACGCTTCCTTTTTTCCTTTTGTTGGAGTTTGTCCAGGAGCTACTTGTTCATCCACACAGGCATCCTGTCCTTTTTGCCTAACTTTGTTGGGATGCGTTGCTCCTGAGCTTGGAGAACATGATCCTCGAATATTATCCAACTTTCTTGGGTCTCTTTTCCCCCCAGGGCTTTATCCCTTGGTACTTTATCAACCTGATCCCTGAAGAGCCAAAGTCTGCTCCCCTGAAGTTCAGGGTCTTTTGCTGTACACTGTGCTTGCTCAACCTTCACCATGTCATGGCCACTGCAGCCAGGAATGCCTTTGAGCTTCATATTCCCTTGTTGGTGAGAGCACAGTCCAGCATAGCACCTCTCCTTGTTGGCTCCTCTATCACTTGGAGAAACATATGTGAAACACACTCATCTGCAGTTGTTAAACTCTTGAAGGAAACAGTTTCCTTAGATGGCCTGGATTTAAAATCCCTCGGTATTTATTGAACAGGCCCAAATAATGCAGGAAGCATCCGAGAAGTTACCACTTAAATTTAGTGGCAGCACAGCTCTTCAATGATGTGTAAATATTTCTACTTTTTGAAGCAAGCTGAGAAGTGAAACTTGGAGCATCCTTTTTTTTTAATTTCTGTGTGTGGAGGAGAGCTGAGTGGTAGCTTTGTGAGAGGTTATGGTTTCACAGCAAGCCCTGTGCCAGTTTAGCAGCTTGTCATGTAGAAAGGCAAATTTCCATCTCTCTCTTCCCATCTGCTCCTGCCCTCTCACTCCTGTTATAGCCCTTGAGCCTATCCAAAATAACAATCTTTAGTGTGTATATATCGTATTTTCTCCTTACACCATGGTGGGTACTGAAAACGGGGGATGCTGGTGGTGCCGGTTCGTGCAGGGGCTGCAGCACACCCTACTGACGCGCTAGGTAGCTGCAAGTTCCCATGCACAGCAGTTTGCTCGGGGAGAGCTAGCACTAACTTTGTGAGGTCTTTGTCAATAGCTACATTTTTACCAGTTCCAACCCCATACTGTTTCCATCCAACTCAAATATCCCTACTACAATAACAATCTTTGTACAAATTGCAGCATGAGTAGCTCTTGGCTGTGAAACTCAGATGCCATGGTTTCTCCCCTAGGGCTGATAAACTGGGTCCCTTCCTCTTAGGAATTTATTCAAGGCACTAAAGGCTCTTCCTTTGAGAATCCTGCTGAAAGTGTCGGATTTCCCCGCAGTAAGTGAGAGGGCAAAACTTCATACATTTGATAAGTTTATTTCACGCAAAACTAAAGAATGTCTTTGTTTTAAAATAGCATTTTATGTTATGAACAAAACAGCAGCTGTGATGGTAAAAACGTGACAACATCAATTTCCATCCTGTTCTGAATGTAAAAAGTCCCAGTTGCTAACAGGAAGTTCTCTTTTTTAGGAAAGGTCTCTCATACACGAGTTTCCCCTTCTTACTGCTGTGGGTACAGGCTAAAAAGAGTACCATGTGTTCAGAGAACAGTATGATACCTGGATGCTGCTTATGTTTCATTGTTCATCTGCTAATACCTCTATCTTCTCATTAAAGCAAACATATGTCATATAAAACCCTAAATTAATACAGAATACATCAGTTGTGGTATTGATATAAAGACAGTCCTTTTTCTCCTAAGTAATTTTTTTTTCTTAATTCTTTAAAATTGCATCCTAGGCAAAACAATATCAAATAGGCTATGTGAAAACTGTGATGAACCATTAAGATACTATGATACCTGGTGTTTCATCTTATAATTAGTTGAGATTTTGTGAACAACTCCAATTACATACTCTATTAGATCATTTATTCTTTTGCTTTGATCTCCCTCTAGTGTTCAACAAAATAGGGTTAGCCAGGTATTAATGGCTGGTTACAGCTATTTTGGTTCCACAAATGTGTGGACACTATGCAACATTATGTAGTCTAATCTCAAACTTATGAATTAGCATAAAACCTAGGTAAATGCTTGTTGTATACGGGTGTTCACTGCCATATATCGTGTTGATTTACTGCATCAGAATAACAAACATATGTCCCATATGATTTCAAGGTCTACTACTTAGAAAGAATTTTACACTGACAGAGACAATACTTCAGAAGAAAACAGCAAAGAGACAGAAAAAGGAAAGCTTATATGTATACAAAATAAAAGGAGAAAAAATATTGTTGCATCTAAAGCCATACATATACCAACTGGGCTAAATGCTAGCAAAATAATTCTCCCATAATTTTAACTGTGGATTCCTTATAAGCAGCATATTTAGAGTGAAATTAAGCTGCAAAACACACATGATGAAGTTTAAATTTATACATTGAAGAGAATTTATATATTAAGTTTTTTCCTGGCTTTTGAAACTACATAAAAGGAATTTTCTGACCAGATCAGAAACTGGACAGACTGGAGGTCTTGCAAAGAACGGAGACAAGAAAATGTGAAAGATGGGTTTATCTTATATGGATAATTATCCCCCCCCCCCCGATCAGTACAGAAATAACACAATTATGTCTGTGTTTTATGAATAAAGAAAAATGACACTTTCAGGAAAGTTTTCCTAATTTGTATTTAAGGTTAGATATATTCAATATGCCATAATTTTGTTGCCAACAACAAAAAATACAGTAAAGCATCTAAGCAAGGCAGAAACTTATCAGCCAGGGCTACTTCTCTTTATACAATGCTAATGTAGCTTCATGCAAAACATGCATAGCCTTGCATATTTCAGCAAAGATACTGAAAACAATAAAAGTGAAAATAACTAAGAAAAGATGGGCTGAGTTCTCAGTATACTTAGAAAAATCTTTATAATAGAAGGGAGGAAAAGGAATTATTTAGGATGTTTATGAATGTAATGCCAAAACCCATTAAAATGACAGTGAGAAAAATAAATTAAAGCTGAGAAGTCAGGAAACATCCTTTAATTGATTAACTGCTTGTGACAGTAGAGTTTTTCTCATACAGTTGCTGAGACTAAGCTTTGCTGATATCTCAAGTATCTGCAACTAAAATAAATTGCATTAAATGTTGGAGGTTATATAAAACCTCGTCTTGTCACAGGTACAGAACACAGAATGTGCACAAAATCATTAGTAAAATAACCCTCTTCATACCAAGTGTCTGTACAATTTATTGAAAATGAGCAACCTGCAAGGAGAAAAACTGGAACTTGTGTTAAAAATCAAGGACTGTAAAAGCACTAAAGCACTAGTGGCTGGTGTTTCGCTTCGTTATCCAGTACTTGCACTTGGAAGGCGCCTTCCCTTGTGTTTGTTTACTCTCCGTAAAGCTGCTGTTGCTTTGTAAAGTTATGATACATAAAGAAATATAATTATTAGTCTATTGTCATTTGTAGCAATATAATCTACATAAGGAAGAAAAAAAAACAACCCAGAAAGCTTTAGCAGACAACCTGCTGCACCTGCTGCAGGTAATTGCTTTGGAAGTGATGTGCTTACACCCTTCGGTCACATCCTTTGCTGTAGTAGATCAGTCACAATCCATTGGAGTCACTTGGTGACAAACTGCAATAATCAGTGTCTACTAAATAAGTTTCTTTATTAAGACTGTAGTAGGCTGATGGATGTTTTTTTTTTTTAAGTATTAGATACTGTGCTCCAGACTTCATAGTCTGCTTTCATTACACTGATCTTATTTGCTTCCAGAATAAATTAATTTTAAGCCTATATATAGCTGTAATTTTCTACAATGAATAAAGGATATTAGCAAATTTGAATACAGGAGAAGTAGTTCTCCGGGGTCATTTTGAAAATGAATCAAGAGACCTTCAAGTGACATCTCTGAGGCCACTGATCTGCTCTTATTCTTTCCAGTAAATCATTAAGTTTGCCAGTAAAAGTTCCATCATATAAATATCGTTACCAACAACCATCAAGGAAATCTGTACAGGAAAGCATCAAGCATTTCTTGAAAAAGAAGTTCTGCGTTTCTGCTTTAAAGAAAGCAGTCCTCCTACATGGTTTTAAGGAGCTACCCATCTTTTTCTCTGGCTGTGATTGCTCCAGTAGTTGCAAACAAAACATCAGTTTTTAAATGACAGAAAAATAAGGGTGTGGACTTATAGTATATCCCCTGCTGTTTAAGTGTGCCCAAGTGTAAATCCAGGTATGTCTTACTGAAAAAAAAAAAAAGTATGCAAAGTAAAGGAACTTCTTTCCTGAGAGCTACTTAAAAATATTATTGTGCTTTTTGTCGTGCTACTGAGCCAATATATTTACATCTTTTTAGCTAAAAAGTAAAACTAGTGAAAAGACAAAGATTGGATAAAATAAAAATGGATATATGTAGTAAATCTCCACTTACCTGCTAGTGAAACAACTTGTGAGTCTGTGTGCTGGTAACTCAGAGAATGATAACTTAGAAATGAAGCCAACGCAGTCTTTGCGTAAGGGAAAGATTGGAACATCTAAATCAAAGAGAAAGACAGTTGTCTCGTTGGCATAACCTTGAATTAAAATAAATCATCCACTGTTTCTGAAAACATTTATAAGGAAGGAAAGAAAAAAGAAAAAATGCCAGTCAAAGGGAAAATAGTCTATCTTCCAGGAGGATAACCCTTTCAGCTACTCCTGGTCTTTATAATCTCCTCTCCTATCATTTGGCAGACTGTATGTAAATCAAGGAGTCTAGTCACAAAAAGACTATGGTCTGTATTACAAATAGTGTTTAAATACTCAGGTAGATAGTTCAGCTTGCTGTCCACCAAGATTATTGTCACTGTGTGTTTTCTTCAATGTAAGACTTCTACTAAAGACAGAATTGGTAGCTGAACTGAAAAGTTAACAAGCTAGAGTGAGCTCTGCAGCACTGAAGTCCAACTGTACTAGTTCGGGTAAATTTAAGTGATCATTACGGAGAACTATAATTCAGGTCATGAAGATAAAACATGTACTGAGCTTTAACAATATTTCATGAAAAGGTGGTAGTCCCTATTACTGCAACACATAGTGAGGGAATAGCATGAGTTACCTTAGGGAAAGATTTCACATTTGGATGTATTAAATAGCAGTTAAATAGCAATGCCCAAAAGCATAATCATATTCTTAACAGTATAAATTGAGAATATTTGTTTTCTTTCAGGAAAACCAAACACAAGCTCAAGGCAACTACAGAAAAGGTGAATTTGGGCTCAGGGACAGAGGAAGTAATTCATCTGTGTGCAGAAAGACTGGTGAAAACACAAACCCTCTGCCATCAGCAGTTTGACAACTCCAGTGAGAGTTGAGTCCTTGGCATATAATAATTGGAGATGGGAAAAGACTAAGTGGCACATTGAAGGGAAGGTGAACTGCAGAAGAAAAAGAAATTAGGAAAAGGAAAGTATGTTCATCATATTTGAGTGTCTTTCAGATTTCCAAGGAGGGAAAATGTGCCTCACTCTTACTCTCCATCTTCAAATGCTCACACAGATTTCATCTTTGCTTTTTAACTTCCTTTTCTTCAGACCATTTGGACCCACTGAGTGCCATTATAATACACAAAAAAAATTAATAGTAACAGTGTGCATGGTATGGAAGTATAGGATGCATTCAAGAGACTGATGTCACAGGAGTGCAGAACATTACTTTTACTCTTTGTTTTCACCTGCCTTGTTCATCATTTGAATAACCTTCTTCACATATACCTAGTCATGGCCCTTGCTCTTGAGTGCCAGATCCAAGGGCCCTCATTTCATATCATGTCAGGCAAGACTCACCTTAGGAACTGAGGTTTTTTGCACTGCTTTGGACTTTAATATACTCATTAGGTGCCTTGAAAATTAATTGTGGAAGGCCTTTATTGTGCTGTGAATTTCTGTTTTGTACTAAGAGTACTGTACATAGCCTAGCAGTTTATTACGTGCACAAAATTTAACATACCATAAGGTGTAACAAATAACTACTAAGAAAAAAGGTCTGTAAATTTGTGTTTACATTTTATTTCCGTTGCAGTGAAAACAAGTACACTGGAGGCACAGAGGCCTTTTCACTCAGTCTTAGGTAATAAATATCAATATTTTGGATCATTGTCTGAATTAAGAATGAAGTAAATAGTAATAATCCATGGTAACAATGTTTACAGTCCCATACAATACAACCCTCAATTTCTAGTTTTATTTAAGTCTAGAAAGTCAGAAATTGCTTGCTGTCAACAAGAGGTATATAGATTTCACTGAATTCTGGTGATTCACCAGGTTATTAAAAAGAATTGGGAATATGATTTGTCTTATGGTCGTTTTATTATCTTAAAATTTTTGAGCCAAAGACAGGAAGGGCTTCAGAGAGGTCTTCAGGTTACATTAACCTACTGCTCAAGTATCCCTCTACTAATATTTCAGATATCTGTGTTCAGATATAATGTGAATGTTACTTCTACCAGCCCAACAGATCTGGGGCTATAGGTGTGCAAGTGACAACATAATTTCATCTAACTGCAGGTAACAAAAATCTTTGCCTTCAGGAGGCATACTGAGTACAAAGCTGCAGCAGAAAATGAGTTTGAGTGACATTTACTATACTTTTGACCTAGCTATAAAGGTTCTCTGCTTCTCAGCAGAGATGTATGATGCTATGGTTAAACACATTGAATATTTGAGGAAACACAATGGTAAGAAACACAAAGGCTAATATATAGAGATTTATTCTGAAGGTACTGAGCATTTAGAGAGGGGATCACAGGTGAGAAATAAATTAAAATGCCCCCTAAAAACTACCCACCTAAGCACAAAACACTATAATTTTGAGCAGATCAGTTTTTCTAATGTGTTCGGTTTTGGCTGGGATAGTGTTTATTTTCTTCCTAGTAGGTAGTACAGTGCTGTGTTTTGGCTTTAGTCTGAGAATAATGTTGATAACACACTGATGTTTTAGCTAGTGCATTCATTTTCTGTTTTGTTTTGTGAAGGGAAGGTGTGTAGAGATGAAAGACCATGTCAGAGAGGGGCTGAGAGTTACTCAATGTTTTTTTGAATATTACTCTGTAAAACAGAGGTACTATGATGAATTACAAGGAAAAAGCAGCTGGAATTGCATGACATAAAAATCTTGAATCCCTGTTACCACAAAGCATAAAATTTGTTATTTCTATTTATGGAGCCATGAAATCAGTAAACAGTTCTAGTTTGAAGGGTGAAAATGCAAAATAATTAAAGAAGAACCTTATCACTTGACAAACTTTTTACAATGATTTTACCAGTTCTGTGCTCACAGAATGATAGCCAGTTTGACACTTATATTCTCTGTTTTCATCCCACTGTGTTTCAATTCCAAAGAGCACACCAGGGAATAAACAGTGTTTTCACAACATGTGAAGGAGAAAGAGATCTAGAACTGTAGCAGTAAATGCCTGGCAAATAATCCAGGCTTTCAAGGAGGAGCAAAGATCAGTAGACTAGAAGAGAAGTGCATGAAAACTGGGATCTCAGTGGGTCAAGAAAAACACAAAAGCTATTTCCACAGTATACAAAATTTTTCCATCCAGTAGGCAGGGCATACATCAGCTGTAGTTTATTAGCTATACTAAATACTAAAGTCTCAGATACTGTAGCCATTACCTTTAGCAAAACAAGCGCACAGAAGTCACTTGCCTTCATCAAGTGGCCTTAGCCTGCCATTTGATTCTTGTTTAACAATTGGCTTGGTAGATCTGATTTTCATTCCATGCCATTCTCAGCATGATATGCAAACTTGGAGCTTTGCAGAAAAGTCTACTATTAGGCTACTCTTTCATCAGAAAGCAAACAATAATCTCTTGAGGACAGATGGCCAGAGAAGGGATTAGCAGGAGCAGCGGTTTTTCTTAAGCAGAAAACAGACTAATTGTGATTGTCTGGTAAATCAAGAATATATAAATATTCGCAATTTCATGACTAATAATCCAATATTTGCATAACAATGTTACTCATTCCTTTTCAGTGACTTGGCAAATACAGAGTATGATAGAAAATTAAGCATTAGGGAATTTCTGAGGGCGTACTGGTAATGAGCTAATCCCTGAGGCAATATACTCATACTCAAATAAAGCTCCAATAAGAAGGGATTCAGCCAACTTTTTCAGATGTTAGCATATTTGATCTTGCACACTGAAATACAGTGAGTATGATGATACCAGCTGGTATTAAATTACAGTAGAGGATTTTCTGTATGAGTTTGGAGTAGATAGAAAAGCTCAAGGTACAATACTGGTCTACTTCTTGGTCAACTTGTTGTTGCAAGTATTTTAGGAACAATATTACTATTCAATGTGAAAGACTAGAAAAGTTTTAAAAGGAAAAGCGAGCATTGTTTTTGCTGTAAGAGATGTTTTTTACGCATATAGTGTAGTGGTCAGGCACCATTGCTCAAATACTGAAATGCAAGCTAACAAACATTTGCTGTAGATGTTCAGTACATTCAGTCAATAGTACATCAGGAAAATTTAGACATGGTGTAAAAGGTACATTAATTAATTTTAAACCGTGAATGAGAATGGTAAAAAGAGTATATGTTTTAAGTGTGATTAACTGTCTAGGATGGTCCTCCTTTTTTACTTTCCTAATTACAGGATGTTTTCTCTGTGATTCCTCTATATAGAGCTTTTGGGAGACATTTTAACCAAAGAAAACCTAGATTAGGCTTTGTTAAATATTTTCCACATGTTTATCCATTATCAAAATTGCTCTGTAATTATTTTCACCTTTAATAAGCAGCTACTGTGATGCATAACAGGCTTCTCAAATCATGAATTTATTTCTATGCATAACTTTATTTCTGTGATTCTCTCCCATTTCTTTAAATTCCTGAACTTTTTTTTTTTTTTTATTTTTTTTTAGTTTTCTTACTAATTTTGTTTTCGGAGTACTGTCAATTAAATAATTGATATTGATGTATCTTTCAGTGAAAGCTATTTTACTTGATACAATTGCCCTTAAAAATAAATATATCCTTAATTTTACATTACACTTACATAAATGACAATATTTGCATGTAGATTGAGATGCTATACTTGTTAAAAAGTATGTGTAAATATAGTAAAGAAAGATATTCAGTATTATATGAACTTAGAAACAATAAAGCCTTCTAGAGATATAAAATTTAGGGTTTTTTTACAGGTCTAGTCTTTCGAAGTTTAAGGGGAAGATCCTGGACTTTGCATTTTCCTCTTCTAGAACCTCCAACAAGGTAGTAGCATATTTCTGCTTCTAGCCTTGTTTATGATAAGCATTGCTGATGGCAGCCTGTGGAACAGGTCAGTTAGCTTTTGACCTGAAGTCTTCTTTGGGCTTGCTTCTCTTACAATTCACTATCTGATGGGGAAGCTGTGTTTTATTGCTTAATTGTAAAACATACATCATATTAAGGATGGCAAAACGATGTTTTGTGTAAGGGGTTA